TGTAATCTACTTTTTTATTAAAAAAGAAAATTTATTATAGAGTGATCTTTCTTTAGCAGGTTGATAAGAAGTTTTTATTTTCATTTTCAGTAGGCAATGCCCAAGCTTCCTGCACTGCCCAAGCCTCTTGGATTTCTGCTTTGAGGTTTAGAATGCCCTTATTCTCTGGAAGATGTGTATCTCCTCTGTGACCAGGTCACCTTAGTCCCAGGGCTCCACTCCCATGGAAGAATGTAAAGGATGATGGGAGTCCAAGTCTCTGAAAAGGCCCTGAAGTCCCAGGCCTTTTCTGCTCCAACTGTCAGGTGCAATGCTCTGCTTCCTCCTTCCAAGTCAGCCTTACTAGATGGGGGTGGGGTGGATTGGGAGAGGACAGCTTTGTGTGTGACTGTTTTCCTCCTAGTAATGCTCACTCAGACTTCAGCTGCTTTGCATCTATATCCCCTCCCCTATCTCTGGGACCAGGTGCTGTTCGTTTCTGTTCTGGTTGCACAGTATCTCCTGTGGCTTGGTGCTAGCACTACGGGGGTGTGGCGAGGAGGGGGGTTGTGGTGATATGAGTGGGGTAGGGCACGTTCTGGGATGGTGGGAAGAGGCAGCCAGGCTCCATGACTCAGGTTTCTGCCTGGCTAAGGCAGTCGCTGAAACATAGCTATCACCTCTCCACGCTAGGTCTCTGCCCTGCTTATTGGGCTCCACTGCATGGAATATGCTTATCTCTCAGGAAGTACTGTTCATGGCTTCAAAGAGCCAAGAAACCATAACATTGATCTCCCCTCCCCTCACCTTGTTGGGAGCTCTGGGCTGGGTCTGCTTTCCACAGCTCCTGTCTTTGCTTCTCTCTTTTCACCTCCCTGTCTCACACATGAATGGCCCACCTTCAGATGCTCTGATGCACAGATCTCTCAGATGAGCTTGTGTGCAGGCTGGGTGTTATTTGTTGGGATGTAGATGTTTAGCTCCTTGTAGTTTCAAGGGGAGAGATAATGAGAGATCTCTCATGCTGCCATGTTTCTGATGTCACTCCCTCCCCTTAGTTTATCTGGAAATGTCTTAATTTCTCCTTTACTCTTGCCAGATATAAAATTATTTGTTGACTCTTTTTTTCTTTCAGCATCTTAAATTTACCATCCTACTATCTTCTGGCATTCACAGTATCTAGTGAAAAATTGGCTGTTAGTCTCACTGATGATCTCTTGTATGTGACAAGGCTCTTTTCTCTTGCTGCTTTCAAGATTCTTTTGACGATTTGACTGTATACCCTGGTGTGGGTCTCTGCATTTATCTTACTTTGAGTTCATTGAGCTTCTTGAATTGGATTATTTCGTCTAATATTTTCTCTGCCCCTTTTGTCTCCTTCTGGGACTTCTATTATGTGTAAGTTGGTATGCAGGATGGTGTCTTATGGATGTCTGAGGCTCCATTCATTTTTCTTCATTTTTCTTCTTTCTGATTCTCATACTTGATAATCTCATTGGCCTACTTTCAAGTTTGCTGATTGTTCTGCTGTTGAAGCCTTCTAGTTAATTTTTCACCTCAGTTATTTTATTTTTCAGTTCTAGAATTTCTGTTAGTTTCCTTCTTATCATTTCCGTATCTTTATTGATATTCTCCATTTGGTGACAAAGTATTCTGGTTTTCTTTAATTCTTTAGGTTTCTGTTAGCTTTTTGAGTGTATTTTAAGACAGTTTACTTAGTCTTGGTCTAGTAAGTCCAATGGCTGGGCTCCTTCAGGGACTGTTTCTATTAATTTCTTATTTCACTGTGAATTTCTCATAGTTTTTTGCATGCTTCACAATTTTTTGTTGAAAACTGAAACTTTTGAATACTATAATATGGCAGCTCTAGAAATCAGACTCTGCCCCATTCCAGGCCTTGTTTTGCTGCTTGTTATGGGGTTTTGTTTGTTTAGTGATTTTTCTAAACCATTTTTGTAGAGACTGTATTCTTTATCATGTGTAGCCATTGAAATCTCTGTTCTGTTAGGTTAGTGATCAGCTAAGATTTGACAGAGATTTCCTTAAACATCTAGAGCCAAAAATACAAAATAGTCCCCCAGTTTTGCAGGTTGGTTATGTGAGGTACTTCTTCAATTTTAGTCAAGCTGTTTAAAACTAAGCCTTAGCCTTCATTCTTCCTGTGGAGCCTAAAAGTCAGCCAGAAGTAAAAGATTAGTCTTCTCAGGTCTTTTAGGAGCATGTCCAGCCCTAGGCATGCAGGTGGCCTTCTAGATTTCCTGATGTATGTATAGGCCTTTTAAAGCTCCCACTTCTCCCAAGTATCTCCTTTCCTAACCTCTTCCTTCTCAGACTTTTTACCCCCCCAGGGGGTTTCTGTTGCTTTCCCCATATTATCTCTTGCCCTAGGTTGCTGAGGTTAATATATTTACCTTTAAATGCTTTCAATAAATGCCACTTGAGAAGCTACTTCTGTCCTGGGGAAAGTCGAAGTTAGGTGAAACAAAGGCAAACCCTTGAGCCAATCCTTCAGAGAGTAACCAGATGAATCAAAATATACAGCCTCAATTCCTTGGGGAAACGATCCATATTGCTCCCTCTGGTACCAACAACCTTCACCCAGTATATGGGCTGCTATTTTCATGGATACTGCTGAGTGGGGAATGGGAGATGTTAGGCAAATAATATATAATGCCACAGCACTCTGACCAAAGACCAACAGCTTCTTTCTTCATTTAGCATTCCCCTGGTTGTTGTAAATTCTTTTTTAAAAAATAGATTCCAGAATTCTGAAAAGTAGATTCTAAGTTTTTGCCAATTTATCCTTTGCTTTTGGGAAGGGGCAAAATTTTAGAGTTCTCTATTCTAACATTTTCAGTGACATCACTCCTGCATGGCTAAGTTTTATTCTGAGTCATCATTAGAAAAGTCAGTCCTGTGTTATAAAGGTGTTACATTTATCTATTGCTATACGACAAACAACACTAAAATTTAGAGCTTAAGACAACAATTTTATTATCATTATACCTCAGTTCTGCAGGTTGCCTGAGCTAAGCTGAATGGTTCTTACTTGAAGTCATAAGCTTTGGCAGAATGGGACTTTCAAGATGGCTCAATCACATAACTGGAGTTGATGTTCACAGTTGGTTAGCTCAGCTGGGGCTGTTGACCAGAGTGCTTCATGACGCTTCTCCATGTGGCTTGAGGTTTTCACAGTATAGTGGTGGGGTTCAAAGAATAGAAACCATAAGGATTCTTATGAACCAATGTCAGAAATCCCATAATACTACTTTCCCTGCATTCTGTTAAGTAAGTCACTAAAGCCATCCTGGATTTCTGGGGAGGGTAACTAGACTCCATCTCATCAAATATGTATGAGATTAAATGAGAAGAAATTGATGATGTCCACCGTGAGAACTATGTCCACAGTCCACCCTCTAAACACCAAACTTCATGTCCATCTCATGTGAAATATACACTCATCCTAAGACCCCCAAAGTCTTATCCCATTATGGCACTGGCTCAAAGCTCAGGATCTAAATCAGGTCAGGGTATAAATGATGCTTTATTTGAAGACTTGTGACTAAAGAAGCATATCTAACATTCAATGTTAATTCAGGAATAGGATAACCACAATAAATGTTTCTTTTCAAGAAACAGAGAAATAGCATATACACAGCAGGCACTGGTTCATAGAAACTCTGAAATTCAGGTGGGCACATGCCACCAGCTCTCTGATTAGTGCTCAGTACTGTCCCCTGGGAGTAACTTTCCATGGCTTTTGTATCTATGCTGAGTTATTATTCCTTTTCTATAAGAAAATGGCCTGTGTTTAAAGCTCAGAGTTCTCATCCTGCCTCCCTGCCCAAAGGGATTTTTCTTTGTCCTTTTCAAATTAAGCTGGTATTTTTATTACAAATGTCATGGGTTATCTATGCCTCTTGTTGAAGTTCACTCCATTAGATAAAACCTCATCCACAAAGCATTTCAAGTCAAGTTCCTCTCTGGTTTGGGTTGAGTGTCAGGGCACTGTGGTATGATATCCTTAAAATTCACAGAAACCATTTTCTGTAGTTGAGAAGGGTCTAGGAGATATACACTAAAATCTTTTCAAGTCTTACAAAAGGGTCTTACAGCTGCATCCTTGAGGTGGTCTTTACCTTAAAGGCCACTTGTTTTGGGCAAAATCTCAACTGAAGCACAATGGAAGAGGTATGGTTAAGAATCTTTAGATATGGTCGAATATCTTTAGCTTTGTCACTGAACTATTGAGGGTGTGTGGCTAAGGGAACTTAGAATAGTTTATCAGATGGCTGGCATGCAGACTGGGGCTGGGACTGAGTGCTTAGGAGCATGATTGTATGTTCTAAACGCTGGTATCACAGGACTGATTTGGGAGTGTGGCTTAAGATCTTATCTCTCTTATTGGAGGGCTGAGGAGAGAACATGGTTAAATGTCATTATATTATTGGAGGGCTGATCAGGTGGTATAACTAGGGGTGGTCTGATATGGGTGTGACTGAAGACCCAAACTCTGAGACTAAAGAATTGCTTGGTCATAGCTGCAAGACCACACCCTGAGATATGAGTGCTGGGGACAATGTATTGTTGAGGGGGCTCCATGATGGGAGAACCAGAGACTAGAGCCGAGAAAAAGCAATAACGGTGGTTAGGGGATGATTCAGCAAAGGCAACAATAGACATTTGTGAGCTAAAAGGAGAGATGCAAGAAAGAGAACTGCCTAGAGGCCAAGGGAAGTGGGTGGTTGCAGATGAAAGTGGGCTCCAGATGAAGCCATGTTTTCTGGAAGAAACCTGAAAGATTCCCTCCCCTCACCTGAAATCACTGATTCACCTGAATCCTAGACTCTCTACCTATACAAGGTACCAGACTCTCCAATAAATATACTAGTGACCCAGTTCTTACATCTTTCAAGGAATTGAATTCTTGTGGAATAGTGGACTTAGGAGGAGTTCAAGATACCTGTACCACTTCTTATTCCCTATCTTTACGGACAAGTGAATGAGGTACATGGCCAAGGTTACAGATTTGTAAAGAAGCAATGTTTATTAGAACAAAAAGCCACAAAACATGAAGACTTAGTGTAGAGAAAGTAAACTAAGTCCAATGTCCTTTGGCCACTTATGGAATGCATTTTTCTACTCCACTTCATGAAAGTGTAAAAATTTTATTTAGTTCTTGCCACCATCTTCACTTTCAAAGACCATGTAAGGGGTCAGAAGATTGCCCTGAACAGGTTTCAGAGTCAGGCTGGTATGGTGGCTTGTGGTAGAGAGCTTTCATCCTATGTCTGTTGAGGTGAGACTTCTGGCTAAAGCCCTGCCCACTTGTCTTCCATACCTAAGGCTTCTCCCCTTGGTGTGTCATCTGATGTAAGACGAGGTGTGACTTTTGGATAAAGCCTTGGCCACACTCTCTGCATACACAAGGCTTCTCTTTAGAATGTACCCATTTATGTGTAATTAAAACTGACTTATTGCTAAAGCCTAGTCCACACTGTCTGCACATATAAGGCTTCTCTCTCGAGTGTTTCCTCTTGTGCCTGATAAGACCTGCCTGGTGACTGAAGCCTCGCCCACACTCCCTGCACACATATGGCTTTTCCCCTGAGTGTGTCCTCTGGTGTGCAATGAGGTTTGACTTCTGGCTGAAGCCTCGCCCACACTCCTCACACACCATGGGCTTTTCCCCTGAGTGTGTCCTCTGGTGTCTGATGAGATTTGATTGCTGGCTGAAGCCTCGCCCACAATCCTTACACACGATGGGCTTATCCCCTGAGTGTATGTTCTGGTGCCTGTTGAGGTGTGACTTCAGACTAAAGCCTCGCTCACACACCCCACACACATAAGGCTTCTCCCCGGTATGTGTCCGCCTGTGTGAGATGAGGGTTGAATTCTGGCTAAAGCTGTGTCCACAAACTCCACACACATAAGGCTTCTCCTTTGAGTGTGTCCTCTGGTGGTTCACAAGGGTTGTCCTCTGCCTAAAGCATCGCCCACATTCCTTGCAGGCATAAGGCTTCTCACCTGAGTGTGTTCTCTGGTGTGAGATGAGGTTCGACCTATCACTGAAGCCTAGTCCACAATCACTGCACACGATGGTCTTCTCCTCTAAGTGTGTCCTCTGGTGTCTAACGACAGCTGACTTCTGACTAAAGCCTTTCCCACATTCCCGGCACACATAGGGCTTCTCTCCCGAGTGCGTCCTCTGGTGTATGATGAGGTTTGATTTCTGACTAAAGCCTCGCCCACATTCACTGCACATATAAGGCTTTTCGCCTGAGTGTGTCCTCTCATGTATGATGAGTGTTGACTTCCGATTAAATCCTCGCCCGCACTCTCTGCACACAATAGGTTTCTCCCCTGAGTGGGCCTTCTGGTGCCTGGCAAGGCTTTTCTTTAGACTAAAGCCCTTCTCACATACCCCGCACACATATGGCTTCTCCCCTGAGTGTATCCTCTGGTGACTAAGCAGGTTTGTCATCTTGCTGAAGCCCAGTCCACACTCTCCACAATTGACTGTTCCAAATCCTAAGACTTCTATCCTCTTCAACAATTTGTCTGTTTCCTCAGGATTCCCCGTCTCAGCAGGGCTGGCCTCTATTTCCACCCCTCTGATGCCATTCCTAGAACTGACTGGCTGCCTTTGAGGCAGCTTGGAGAATGCTGTTAAAGTCCTTTTCTTTGTCTTTCCAAATGAAAGTTTGGCACCTTCTCTCTCCTGACCTTCTGCCTTTTCACTCCAGGAACTTGGATCAGAGGCTTCTTCCTGCTTCTTTTGGTCCCCTGGGCACAGATCCCCTGGCTGGACATGATTTTCTGCACACAAGCATGGGAAGATCCAGGGGGGATGATTACACAGCATGTGCTGCATGTGGAACTTATGACTGGAGAAATCCGGAAGGCAGAAAGGACAGAGGTGGAATTCTGGCTTTGGTTCTGCTGCAGAGAGAGGAGTTTGAGTCAGAACTGAGACTCAGTAGGGCAACCCAAGCAATTCTGCTGAGACTTAACTCTTTGCTCTTCAAAATGCTTAAAACTTAAGTGCTACCCAATCGAGACTTCTTTTACAAGACCTATTTTTCCAGCCGATCCCATCTTCCATTACAATCCAAAAAACCTACTCCTAAACCTATTCTATGTATCAGACTACAAAAGCATCACAGGAAGCTTCAGCTCTGTAAATAGGGCCAATACGCAACAATCTTTTCCCCCTACTGCAACCACTCACATTGATATAAACTGTGTCCACAAATATTTTCTTTGACATTTAACCAAAGGACACACGTGGAAATGTTATGTCTTTATTTTCCTACAAGGACAAAGGGATAGACTGAGAGAGCAGTCATTCAGACTGGAGAACCCCTAGACTAGGAAGCAGCACAAAAGATTAGCTAAAGAGATCATGTGTGAGATGCCTGAACTAGAGTTTCCCTACTCACTTACAAATATTTATTAGAGGATTATTTTGTGCCAGAATTCCTACAAGGCAATAGATTTTCAGTAATGGGCAACACAAACAGACTTAAAAGATGCTTCCTCCTGGTACCCCTGACCAATTTAAGCCCTGATAATTATTTTTTAATTAATCTAAATAAAAATTTCCTCAGAAATCAGTATAAAAGAAAAACTTTCTTCCTATGGTACTTTTTGCATAGGAGATGTCAACACTGAATGTATTGTTTCATCACACTGGTTCTGATCAGCTAAAGAAAATAAATGACCACAATTTGAAAACCCACGTACAGATCTCACTGGTACTACCTG